AAAAAAAACTATCTCAAAATTAATAACAAACCACAAAAGACCCCAGATTGCCAAAACAATCCTGAGCAAATGAACAATGCTAGAGTGATTACAATTCCAGATCTTAAGATATAAAAACAATATGGTATTGGCATAAAAACAGACATATAAACCAATGGAACAAAATGGAAGAACCAAACATAAGCACAAATAACTTCAGCTACTTTATATCTGACAAAGACTCCAAAATCATACACTGGGAGAAAAAGAAGAGAAGAAGGTATCTTCAACCAATCATGCTGTGAAGACTGGATGTCAACATGCAGAATTAGACCTGTAGCTATCACCTTGCACAAAACTAACTCCAAATGACTCAGAGAACTAAACACAAAACATGAAACACTGAAACTGCTAGAAGAAAACACAGGCAAGTGCTCTATCTGCTCCAGCTCTCGAAAAAAACTTCCTCTTTAATACTCCATTTGCCCAAGAATTAAGGCCTCACAATTGACAGGTGAGGCTTCATGAAATGAAGAAAGTTCTGCATAGCTGAAGAAAGAACTGACTAAGTGAAGATGAAGCCCACAGATTGGGAGAGAATATTTACCATACATCTTGCAGATAATTAATATCAAGAATATAAGAATATACTAAGAACTCAAAAAAGCAAAGAATGAAAAAAAAAGGGCCACTTGAAAAAATTGAGCCTAGAGCCTGAACAGGGAATTCTTAATAGAGAAATAAATGGCTGTAAAACATCTTTTTAAAAAAATATTCATTGTCTCTAGCAATTAGGGAAATGCAAATCAAAATGACTTTGAGATTCCATCTTACCCCAGTAAGAATGGGGAAGATCAGTGGAACAACTGACAGCAAATGCTAGAGAGGATTCCGGGGGAAAGGAACCCCACCCACCGTTGGTGGGACTGCAGCCTGGCATGGCCACCATGGAAATCAGTGTAGAGAATCCTTAAGATGCTAAAAATGAACCTACCATATGACCCAGCTATCCCACTCCTCACATATGCTCAAAGGACATGCCATCACAGATACTTGCTCAGCCGTGCTCATGCTCATTGTTGTTCTTTTCACCATAGCTAGGAAATGAAAACAACCTAAATGTCCTACGGCTGATAAATAATAATGAAAATGTGGTATGTGGAATGTTATTCAGCTGTGAAGAAAAGTGTAATCACTAACTTTGCAGTTTGGATGGAACAAGAAAAGATCATTTTGAGTGAAGTAACCCAGGCCCAGCAAGACAAATGTCCCATGTTCTCTCTTTTTGGAGGATCCTAGCTCCAAACCTCCAGGTATAAGCACATAGCCTGCAGTGACTACAGAAACTAGGAAAGTAAAATAGGAACACTGCCAGTTGTCTTAGCCACCGTGCTATTTCTGTGAAGAGACACCATGACCATAGCCACTCTTGTAAAGAAATCATTTAACATTGCTTACAGTTCCAGAGGGTTAGCAGGAAAATGGCAGCATATAGACAGACATGTTACTGGGGAAGTAGCTGAGAGTTTTACATCCAGAGCCACAGGCAGCAGGAAAGTGAAAGCCCCTGTGATTAGCTTGGGTTTATGGAACCTCAAAAACCAACCACACTGACAAACTTCCTCCAGCAAAGCCACACCGTGTACTCCTTCTCAAGTAGTGCCACTCCCTGATGACTAAGCATTCAAATGTATGAACCTACAGAGGCCATTCCTCTTCACACCAAAATAGGGGCCGGGGGTGAGGGGGCAATAGAAAAGAGAACGGCAGGCTGCAAGCAATCACATCAGGGAAAAGAAGGGACTCCTTAGGGAAGAGGGAGGGCAGCAAATACAGAAAAAGGGGGGCAAAGTAGCCATAAGGATGTCTGGAGAATAGCAAAGAACCATGCTATTAACTATATACCTTTAAAAAACCTGTAATGCACGTAATTCAGTGTATAAATATATATGTACTTTTAATGAATGTTTCTCATTCGGGCTGAAATTGCTTCCTCCAATGACCAAAGACCACTTAACAAAAAATCCAATACCAGAAATAAGAAGTCCTCTTTTAAGTTGTTGGCAAAACTAAGAGACTCCCAAAACATAAAACCTGCTGCTGTTGCCATTGGTTACCATCTCCTAGTGCTGGAAAGCAAGTCCATATTACTAAAGACACCTCGTCCTTCAGAAACAGAACCCAGAGACTCCTGAGCTAGAACCAGCCTGCATGCCCCGTCCGTAAGGACTACCTTTCATTGCACTGAAAGACAGTGCAAGCTTCCAAAGGGACAGGCAACCTTCAGTCCTACCCAGCCATGATACCGATGAATCACATCAGAAACCAACATGGCCTGATAACCCTTGCTATTGATTTGGAACTTTTCCTCTTTTGCCATCAACTTCCCTTTGCCTCACTTTAACTGTGACCCAAAGTCTTTTGACATTTTGTTTTTATCAAAATTCAGTTCAGTTCAGTATTGTTTTTCTCTCTGTGACATGTCCTCTTTGATCTAGAACTTACTCAAAATTATCCCATCTAGTTTCCAACTAACTGCCTAAAGATGTTCTTATCTCTGCATTTCTAGTTGGATTCCACATGGTTACAGAACACACTGCAATTATTTTGATTATTTCATTTTACTGAGATTATTCTATGCTTCATTCATTATATGGTCAATTTTGTTATATGATTCCTTGGCAGGAACAAATCGCCTAGTTTTCCTAATTTTTAAAAGAGGAATGTTAGGAGTCCTCAAATACAATTTTAGACTTTCTGACTTTGTCTTTCTTTGTACATTTTCTATCTCTGTTACTTACTACAGACACACGTAGGATCCTTTGTCTTCTTGGCAGACTGCTTCTTTTTTTGTCTGGCCTACTGTAGTTGTTTGTGAAGCTTTGGAATCTACTTTCTCTGATGGTAACACACCCACTCCTGCGTTCTTTTGATTGACAAGTGAATGATGTATTTCCACCTTCATTTTTAACTACCTAGATAATTTTGGGGGGTTGGTCCGGTGCTGTGTATTTTAATGCTAATTACTAACCCCTTCCCAGGTCTGGTTGTCTCCCAGATGAGCACATTCTCACAGGCACCTGTCCTTCTTGTAAAAACCTTGGCTCCACCTAATTTAAAGTTGATTGGTTAATAAAAAAAAATGCTAAAGCTTGGGATTTGGCAGAAGAAAGGGAGGCAGAGTTTAGGGTTTGCATACTTGGGGTCCAGGGACCACAAGGTGAGGAGAGAGAGGAGGAAGAAGCAGAAGATGGACTAGGAGGTCATGGCAGGATGGAGCCCAGCAGGGATGACGTATTGGCAAGTCACATGGTGGTGTAGCTGAGAGAGAGGTAAACAGCTTACAGGGCTGAAGTTTGCCGCGCTTTAAGCTTGTAACATGAATCATAGTCTCTCTGTGTCAATTGTTTTGGAAGCTAGCTGGGTTTAAGAAAACTGTTGCTTTATTAGATAAACTCTTACATATAATCATTTCAGGGATTATTTGTTTTTGACAATATATAGTTAGGTCACATCAGTCAACCCTTGTCTTTCCACTGATGTATTCAGACCACAAATACTTAGTGGAACATTACAGTTCAGGTTTCCTGTCTTATTTTTTTCTTTGTTCTTTCTCTGCTAATTTTTTTTTTTTTGCCTTCTTCTGGGTAACTTATATCCTTAATTCTATTTTGCTTTATCTATACAGTTCCTTAAGCAAATCGATGAAGAGTCATACAAAATCTTCACTGCTCCAGGCAGCAAATTATCTGCATACATACACACACACTGTATTGGTATATGTATGTACATGTATGTATGCTTTTCTTGTTGCTATGACAAAATACCCCTATGAAAACAACTTAAGGGTGGAAAGTTTATACTGGCTCACAGTTTGAAGATGGGATGGCTCACATTCCATCATGGCAGCAAAAACAAGAAGAAGCTTGAGAAAGCTTCTCATGTCATGTCAACAGTTAGGAAGTCCAGAAGCAAGGCTCATCTAGCTTTCTCCTTTTCGTGCAGTCCAGGGCCCAGGCCCAGGGAATGGTGCCGCCCACTTTCAGGATGCCCTGTCTCACCTCGGTTAACCTAGTGAAAATAAACCCTCACAGACACGCTAGATAATTTTTCACAGCCATCTCTCTCTCTCTCTCTCTCTCTCTCTCTCTCTCTCTCTCTCTCGGCATAATTCTGACACAACCTCTGATCAAAGATGACTGGGGAAGAGCCAACTCTACCATACGTTAGTTGTGGTTGTGCAAACTCACTAGCTCCACTAAACTGGAAGGCTTCCCAGTGAGCAACCATTTCACATGGAAAATCTCACTTCTATTCCTACATAAAGCAAATCTATTGGCATCCACCTACCTGATGTTATTCTGGACATCAACCTCGGATATATATCCAAGACGAACACACATAAACACACATGAAAAACAGAACATTTATTTGTGTAATGTGTGTCACAGTGCTTGGCATACAACGTGCATTTATAAGTGTCTAAAGTTAGAAAGGACTAAGAAAATGTTTTATTGTTTTAAGAGAATAGCCCCCACTAGAAAATTTTATTACAGAGTTAAATGTAATAATGATTTTCTTGGCATATAAATTCATTATTCTGTTAATCATGACTAATTAGGCTAAACTCAAGAAAAAAAAAAAGTGAAATGTTTCCACATCAACCTCCTGTCCCGGTCTTTCAATAGAAAGCAATGACAACCATTGAAAGGAAGGCCACAGGGGAGGTGCTACTACGCTGGCTGTCAGCAAATGTGCTTTGAATCCCTCTTGAAAGAACCTCTCCGTCTCTCTGACTCTGAAAACACTGTAGAATCCCATAAGGGAAAATGCAAAAATTCAAAATTTAAGTAAGATGCAAAGAACTTCAATAACACCTTGGGGTTTGTTATCTAACCATATAAACTGAAATATGCACAATAAAATATTACGTATCCATGCATGTATACATGCATGCACACACAAAATGTATATACACGTGTGTTACATGTGTGTATAATCTATAGAGTTCGTACACCTACTGTCATTATGTCTTCGTAGTTCTGGCCCAGGATGCTCTCTATGAGCTCCTTGATGGTCTGGTCAGCGGCTTGCTGGGCCTCGGACTGCAGAGAGGCAATGATCTCCTCTATGCTCGTGGGCAAGGATCGCGTAATCGGACCAGGTGAGAATATCTGGCTCGTGGAGCGCCCCTCGTGCGGGGATCCGGACGATGTCCTGGATGGCCACTGGGCCCAGCTTGCGGCCTGGCGCAAGTAGTGGGTGTGGAAGCGCAGCCTGCGCGACTTTCCTTCGTCGGCCTCGCTGCTCAGGCTGGACAGGGAGCTGGCTTGCCTGTAGCGCTGGCGGACCACGTCGAGCAGCCGCGATTCCTGCGCGGGGCTCAGGAAGTACACGCGCTTGGACACCTGCGCCACGGGGCCCTTGCTGCGCGGCCTCCTGATGCGCGTGATGTGTCGGAGCAGCAGCGCGGGCCTGGCGGTGCCAGCCTGCGTGGCGATGACCGGCAGCCGCGTGAAGGGACCGAACCGGCGGTACGCCGAGCTGCGCATGTAGAACTCCCGCGGGCAGAAGGGCGGCCGCTTCCCCGGCCGGCGCCGCGCCCCCTGCAGGTCGGCCGTGGCGGGGAGCTTCGCACCCTGCGCCCCAGGCCACGGCGCGCGCCCCTTCTTCTCCTTCGACCTCTTCCTACCGCTGCTGCGTGGGCGCTCTTCCTTGTCCTGGTCCGGGGGCTCTTCCTCGGAACTTGAGCTCAAAGGCGGACTGAAATCCAGCCTCTGCTTGAACCAGAGACTCCTCCGGCGAATGGTCCTGGTCCGCTGGCGAACCTTCTCGAGCTCTTTAAATATGCACGATTCGTCTTTGGCTGTCAGCCCGAAGTGTTTCCGAAAGGTGGACATCTTGAAGCACTTGACCTGTAAAATACGCCCCCCCACAAAAAAAAATTTTTTTTTACTACCGATATTTAACAAAACTTAGGTTAATAAAGTTTCAGTTCCAGCAAAATGCCTCAGGTAGAAAGTACTGTGTTCAAGTAAATTTACGTCTATGGCCTTTCCCAGGAACCGGGAAAGCCCTCTAAAGCAACAGTGCTCAACCTGGAGGTCGGGACCCCTCCGGGCGACAAAAGACCTTTGAACAGGGGACGCCTAAGACCATCGGAAACCATACATTTATATTCCAGTTCACAACAACAACAAAATTAGTTGTGAAGTAGCAATGAGAATAACTTTGTGGGTGAGGATCACCACAACATGAGGAACTGTGTTCAAAGGTGGCAGCGTTGGAAAGTTTGAGAACCGCTGCTCTAAACTACCACTTTTTGTTTTTTCAGCAATAATTCCCAAGCCCCTTCGGACCTACTTTAACATTTCTTTATGCTGTGATGTTGTGCCCCACTTCCAAGCAAGCCCAGAACACCTAAGGTAGCCGGGATAATAGAGGATGGGGGTCTCCGACTAGACCCCCGGAGCTTAAACATGTTTTTCAAACATATTTTTCAGTTATTTGGAAGTTTCTCAAAATATAAATTAAAACGGACACGTTTTAATTGGGACATTTATACATACAAGTTTTTCTTGGGAGAAAAAGTGAAGGCTGTGGTAACATAAGGACCAGGTATCTGCCCTTGGCTTCATAGCTCCCTTCTCCCTTCTCCAGACGGTCCCAGATGGTCCCGCCACTAGCCACTATGCTTGCCCGGTGTGTCACCTGAGCGAAAAGGGAGAGAGGGGCCTTGGATGCTAAATGCTTGTACTTTAGTGTGCTGCTGGGAACCACTTGAAATTTTAACAAAAGAGGATCCAGGCAGTCCTGATGAGACTTAACAAGCTATGGGCAGATGGCAATAGTGGAGAACGCCCCCTTTCAGTGGACTAGGGGAAGGGGATGAGGATAAGAGGGAAAGAGGGAGGGGGGAGGGAGGATGGGGATGGGGAAGTTGAGGAAGGGGGTTTCAATTGGGGTGTATCGTGAATAAACGGTGAAGAAAAAATAAAAATTAAAGTTAAAAGTGTTTTTAAAAATTAGCACTTGGGGATGGCAATACTATACAGATAGAAAAGGGGACCAAGCTTTAGCCTGAGGCCTAGAATTAGTAAATGAGCAGAAGGAAAACAGACATAACACAATAAAAAATAATAACAGCTGGTCAGCCATTAAGAATAAATGGGATCTGTGCCAGGCAATAGATGGAGCAGGCCTGTAATCCCAACACTTGCGAAGCAGAGGCAGGCAGATGTCTGTGAGTTCAAGGACAGCATGGTCTACAGAACAAGTTCCAAGACACCAGGGCTACAAAAAGAAACCTTATCTCTAAAAACCAAGATAGATAGATAGATAGATAGATAGATAGATAGATAGATAGATAGATGATAGATCTGGATGTGGTGGTGCAAGCCTGTAATCCCTGCAATCAGGAGGTAGAAATAGGAGAATCAGGACAATTTTGAGATGAGGCAGTCAAGGCTTCACAGCAATACCCTGCCTAGAAAATAAAAAAGCACGATATAAACTTTAAATATCAAAAATAAATGGGTACAACTAAAAGCTCATTCAAAAAAAAATGATACTTTTATAGTTTAGGGAGAGAGCTCAATGGGAAGTAACTTGCCAAACACGAACAAGACCCTGAGTTTCATCCTAGCTGAGCAAAAACAAATGAGGACCACTTAGCACTTCGCTAAAGTCTAGACCATAATCAAATGCATAATAAAATGTGTTATTCACCCAAATGAACATTTCAAAATGGCTAAGTAGGCAAATTTCATGTTGTGTGTTTACTATAATGTTTAAGTGCCAATTTCCATTCTTCAGCAGGCCCTTCTTGTATGATACCTACGGTCCTAAGTGAATCCTGAGATCTTGAAAGTGCTGAGATCATTACTGAAGGACAGGAGGGACTGAGAGAAAGACCAGTGAAAGAGTCTGCAGTGCACTTACCTGTGAATGGGGAAACGAGTAAGAACAAGGGAGCCAAGAAAATGAAATGAATGGGGCTCCCCCAGAAGCCAAGAAGAGTAGTTTGAGGCACAGAACTAAAGCAATGAAAATAAAAACAGAAAAGAATGAATCACAGCAGTGGTTTTGAAGTCAGCATGATGACAAGCACTTGTAATCCCAGCACTCAGGAGGCAGGACAATGAGGAGACGGAGGACTACTGAACCAAACAAACCAGCTTGCAAAAACACCAGCAGTCAAAAAAAAAAAAAAAAAAAAAAAAAAAAAAAAAAAAAAAAATCCAAAGCCAATGTTCTTTGAACAGCAACGAAATAACGAAGCAGAAACAACTTCCAAATGTCACTGTTTTGTTTTGTTTTGTTTTGTTTTCAGGTCTGATTATTCAGCTAGAGGACATAATTACTAAAGAACTATTTAAAATGTAAGTGTCTCCAAGGGACTTGAATCTAAAAATTCATGGATAATATGAAAGCCAAAAGCATCCTTTATTCCAGATGCTCTAATTTAAAATATAATGGTAAGTCTTCATAATTGTTAAAAGAGTAACACTATATGAATAAATTTTAATTTAATTGGAGGGCATAAAAGATTGAATAGACAGCTAGTGTTCGCTCATGATAAACCAAATGCTTTAATTATATCATGTAGTCTCAAGATACTGTATTGATTTCATGTTGCACAAAAAAAAAACCCTAACGATGATACCTCAAATTTTTTAATTTATTTGAAGTAATAAATAGGATTACCAAACACTATGAGAAAAGAAAAGGAGGGGTAGTACACCTGCCCTTCCATGTGGGAGTGCCAGGGTAATTAAGACTTGCACAAATATAAGCCTCCACGGAACTGAAACGCTGCTGATAGAATCAGGAGGTAGGCTGAGAAAGGCTTTTGAGATGATGTGAAGTGTATATTAAAGGCGAATTTGATTGGTGATAGAAGGAAAAGTTGTTCAATAAATCATACCAGGGCCATTGGTCAACCATTTAGGAAAGAATTATGCCTTGATTTACACCAGAAATAAGCCAAGATATATTTTAAATGTGTGAGAATTAAGCATGTAAAGCATTTATTTGCTTACCACTATCCATATTGATTACATCAATATACAAAACAGTTGTCTTTCTAGTACAAGTTATTTACTGTCTTGCTGGGATAATAGGAAAGCATTTGCCCTATTTATCCAGTTCTGAAACACACCCCTCTGATTCCTAAACTGAAAACCTTTGCAATATGACAGAGCTCTCCTCTGGGAACTAATATGTTTTCTTTCTGTACTCAGCTCTACCAACGACTAGTCCAGTGATAATTCAATTCTGTATACACTAGGGGTTCATATTACAAAGTTAAAACTAAAAGGTATGGTTGCACATGCCTGTGACCCAATTCTTGGGTGGCAGAGGCCTACAGATCTCTGTTGAATTTTAGGCTGGCCCTCTCTACATACTGAGACCCTGTCTCAAGAAAGAAAGAAAGAAAGAAAGAAAGAAAGAAAGAAAGAAAGAAAG